AACCTGATACAGAGTCACTCAGAGCTAATGTATACTACACAGGCTTTGCTGATACAGCTATACCAGTATAGTAACACCAGCAGAGCCACCTAGTGTAGATGCAACGTATGCCAACAAAAGCAATTTTTTTGCGGACATTAGCTAAGTCAGTAAAAGCACTCTTCTGACAGCATAGTTGCACCTACACAGAATAGTTATCTTGGTGAGGATGGGTGGTTTTTTTCAAACCCTGACCAATATAGCTATGCCAACAAAGTTCTGTGGTGGATACCTGTCCTCAGACACAAACATGGGATGCCCTTAAAGTCAGTATTACACAATCTCTTTTTAAGAGTAGAACCACACCAATAGCGACATGACCATTTAAAAAATAGACAGTTGCTTTGGAACAGTTGTGAAAGAACGTGTCTTCTGCAAAGCGAACTGTCAGCCAGTGCTAATTATATTTAAAAGTATAACGACAGCCATTAATTGCTAAACATTTCTATTAACTTCATTGTTTAGGATGGGACAAAAATGACTAATTTCAATTTTTTTTCAAGCAGGCAAATACTAATTGAGTGGGAGATCGTGTTTTCAACACGATTACTGGAAGCTTCCTCTAGGACTACTTAACACAGGTAATTGTTTTGCATTCTTGTAATAATTAGACTGAGTAAATTACATTAGGAACGGAGAGAAGCAGGGAAATGTATCTGATTTTCATTTGCAATGAAAGCAAATTACTTCTAGGTAACTTAACAACTTCCAAGTGTTATGGAAGCTTCAAGTGCATACTAGAATCAATTAAGAAAATATAAAAAAGGAAAATTACTTATTTAAGTGTGTATAGCATATTTTCCAGCCCACCCATCTATTTTTCTGGGAGCAATACACTTTGAAGAGCAGCAGTGGCAGACTTGCATCTTGCCCTCGCTAAATCTTCAGCTCTTCAATAGGCTGATCCAACTCACTTTGCCTACAGAAGGAGCACAATAATATCCTAAATGAGATGCTAATTTCACAGTAGTGCCCAGACGTCAAAAGTTGTCAAATATTTTAGTTACAATCAAGGCAAAGCCTGAGGGTGGTAACAGTAGTAGAATCCCATCTGATTACACCTAAAACTGCTGGAAGATAAGGAAAGGGAACCACTGAAATATCATTATGCACCTTTTTCCATATGTATGCTTGTCCCTGTGGCAAGCCAGACAGCAAGGGCTCACAGTGTTGGACTAATCAGAATGAGGACAGAACCAGGGAATTTGCCCATCAGCCTCGCCTAACAATCAAAAGTGGAAATTCCCAAGGATTCCTTGGAGCAGATGAAGAAGCAGTGGTAGAACACAGCTCAAGGAAGCAATACTGGAGGAAAGGAACAGTCCCCTGACGACACAGGGAGACTGCAAGAATATCCTAACCCTCCATACCTTTTTTTTCCCCTCAGGAAACCTATGCCTCTTAGCCCATCAGCAGATCCAAACACTGCCCCACCCAGTCTACTACAAGGGACATCAGTCAGGAATTTGTCAGAGTTTTCTGTCAAGAAAAGGAAAAGACAGCTTCAACTGATAAGAAATGCAGGGGTTGAGAAGGGAATGATGGAACAGCTGTTGAGCAGATGACAGATGCATCCGACAAGTTAGACCAGGAAGATTTCGTGCGCATTTTACATCACTTGAAGGCTATTCTTATATATTCTCATAAGTGTATTGCTCCCAATATTTCAAGGAATTAAACTGCATTCTGAGTGGGAGAGAAGGGAAATAACTGAAAAATGGAAAGGATGCCTAGAGGAGCTGCGGGGGGGTAGGGTGGGGGGGGACATTGTACTTTGATGTCCAGGTCATTGACTTCAGAAAGGGAATATTACCCTAATATTTTAAATTTGTTCTAGGAAATTCACTGTTCATGTTTAAATTTTTTCCAACTTAGCCTTCCTTTTTTTTCCCCTCGCCCCTTTCCTTTGCTGCCAGGAAGTATTTCCTTGGAAACCATCAAACCAAAGGAATTTTTTAATTTGTAAATGCTTCTCCCTGGTTCCCACTTTTTCAGCTCCAGAAATATTTTAGGTTTTTCTCTGACTTACCTGCTTCTCAATTCCTTTGTTTTTATTTATTTTATGAATAATTTAATTTTTCCAGACTAGTCTCCATGGAAAAAGAATGCATGAAACATACAATCAAAAATTGCAGCCAGGCAGACAGAAAAGCAAGTCAGAGCAGAAGCTGTAGTACAGCAAAACAGTCATGAATTGGACAAACTTCTAAGTAGGTTTTTAAAATATTTTATATGTTAGTGGCAAAAATACTCCAAATAAACAATTAGTTTATGGTTCTAAACCATATTGCAAACTCTGAGATAACCCACAATATAGTTTACGCATTAGAAAGAAAAGATCTTTTCCTAAGAGAAGGTTTTATTGTTTTGGTTTTTAAGAAACCTTTTAGTATATTATGTGGCAAAAATATCATTAGCATCTGGGGGGTCTTCCATGTGTTGTGACCAGAGGAGCAGAAAATTGCCCTACCAGAACAGACCAATGATCCATCTATTCTCTCTCTCTCTCAGTGGTTATTGCCACATTTTCTTGAGGAAATCTCAAGAAACCCCATAATGGAAAATTACGGAATACCTTATCCATAAATATCTATTCCATTTGTTTATAATGTACAAATTTAACTCCTGTTTTCTAAAGCTGAAATAATTGGTGAAGTCAGAGGGTTCAATGCTAGAGTAGAATCTTGAACTCTGTCCACGTGTTTATTCATGTAGCTCCACTCCCTATGTCCAAGAATCTGCTTTTGACATGCAAGGCATGTGACAATCTTCCCCACCCTTTGAAATGAGGATATGCATGTACAACTACAAGTTGCAGTTTTAGTTACTTCCAAGACAACTTAAAACTGAAGGCTAATACACAATCCTTAAACTTTTAACACACAGTTGTGCAATACCTAAATCTCTGTACAACAAGAGCTATTAATTTCACAAAGCTTGTTTGCTCTTTATCGGTCCACTGGATTGCATTCATCTTATGTATATAGTGCAAATACTACAAGAGGTTGAATGTTTCCAGAACCGCAAGTAACTTCTACTCTTTGGCTCTTATTGTAATATAAAGGAACCCTGCCCATGCCTGTTTGAACAATAAACCATGAATTTTACTTTGTGAATTTAAAACCATGATTTATTACTTCTATTAAATGGTCTTACAGCCTGGGGAAAGGTAAGTTTACCTGACCTCTAATACTTCTGCAAGAAACAGCAAAAAATTACTCAAGTTTTAGTAGCCTTTTTCACCATTTTCCCACAGGCCTTGCAGTTAAACCCCTCACTGGCTTTTACTGTTTATCACATCACATAAGGGCACTTCTCCTTCCTTAAAAAATGAATCAAAAAATCCCATGTTCAAGATACTTCAGTAATGAGCATAGTATAAATGGGAAGATGAAAAGAGATACCAACTTCAGACAACCTGCAAATATTTAAAAAAAAAAAACTATAATCATAGTTTGATCAGCTGGGTATTCATAAGTTTACCTCAATGTGAGAAGTCATTTATCTTTAATATAATTTGCTATTACATAGTTCCAAGTTTAAAATGTAACGAATATTTCTCTTCTTTCCCCCTTGACACACCAAAAGTGAATACCATACCCCCACCCCAAGTTTGTACTAGGAGAACAATACTGTAACTGTTCTTGTAAAACATGATGTATCAAGCTGCTTACCCCACCATACATGGTACAACTGCTACCTTAATAGCATACAACAAAACTTTCATGAGCAACAACACTGGCTTTACAGCTACTCTGAGACATCATCCAGTTATAAATCTGAGACACACTTTTTTTATCCCAACCCTCACAACCGTAAGAGAGACTCATAGAGAAAGTACTATGTGTATTAAGGGGAAAGCATCCATAAAATATTTTTCAAGATTTGGGGAGCGGGAAGCAGCTACAGAAATAACTAGGAGAATAGTCATGGAGTGTGGGGAGAGGACGAACATAAGAATGGCCATAATGGGCCAGACAACCGTCCATCTAGCCCAGTGACCAATGCAAGGTGCTTCAGAGGAAATGAACAGAACAGGTTGATTATCAAGTGATCCATCCCCTGTCGCCCATTCCCAGCTTCTGGCAGTCAGAGGCTTAGGGACACCTAGAGCCTGGGTTGTGTCCCTGACCAAACTAAATACAATTACATCCTCTCCAAGGCAGACTCTCCCCGGAAACTGCCCTGCAGGGCTTGGCTTCCCTGTCATAGCAGAGCAGGCATCAGGCTCAACATGCATTTTCACAAAGCAACATAGGAACTGCTGCCCATAAACTGCTCCGTGGTTCATCCAGTCCAGTAGCCTTTCTCTGAAGGTGGATAGTCCCAACTGTTTCAGAGGAGAAAACTCTGCCATAGGCACTGATGGCTGGGGAAAGTTTCCTCCTAAAGCCCCAATAATCAGAGCTTGGCTTCTGCCCCAAATCTTGGGGGGGGGGGGGGGGTTGTTTACATCCCTTCCAAAGCTCTTATTTCACTGTAATATTTACTCTGATATGGATAAGAAAAATATCCAGTTATCAAAGTCCAATCTCTTTTGAAACCTGGCTAACTAAAGCCCTGGGCCTCAATGCTACACACCTGCCACCACCACACCCACTCACCCCCTTCCCCTAATGCAGTCACACTGATAAACATCAAAGCTTCCCCCACGTGGGCTGGGGCAGATGCAAATGGCTCGACAGCCTGGTGGTCAGCGCCCTGCGCCAGGATGGGGGTGATCCAGGACCCAGTCCCCCGGTTCCAATGGGCGGGGGGGGGGGAATGATATTTTGTTCCGCTTTTGCGAAACAGAAGCCCACAGATCCCGAAGGACCAGCTGGGGGCTGCTGCACCAGAGAGGGGGCAAGGGGGCAGCGATGGGGGGCAGGACCCCGCGCCCCAGAGCCGGCAGGGCGGGAGCCGTGGGGAGGTCACTGCCCGGGGGCTGGAAGGGGAATGGCGCTGGCGGGGTCACTTACCCGGGTGGTGGGCGCAGGGGCAGCAGGAGCCCGCGGGCCCCGCTGGGGGGTGCAGCGGGGGAGGCGCCGCGGCGGGCATCGTCCCGCGGGTCGCTCCGGCAGCTGCTGCGGCCGCGGCAGCTCTCGCTGTCCGGGCGCTCGGCAGCAGCGGCGGCGGCACCGCCCCCTGCTCGGGGCGGGGCCGGGGCTGGCCCCGGGGGAGGCGGCGCGAGAGGCGCAGCCCCTGAGCCCAGGCGGGAGGGGCGCGGGCGAGGCCCCGCTCCCGGGGCGCTGCCCCCGCCCCTCTCCCCCCACTACCCTCCGCCCCCTAAGCTTCTGCCTCTTCCCCAGCTCGGCATCCCGTAGTCACCCCCCGCATCCCGCCTTCGTCCCTCCCCAGCCCGGCCAGTTTATCAGAGTGGATTCCTCTGATTCTTAACCAGCGCCCAGCACATAAACCTGCAGGGTCTCATCAAATCCTTTTACTCCCCGACTTCCCCCAGTCTCCCCACCTCAGCCCAGGCCCTACCCCACTTACCCCCCCCCCGACGCACACACACACACACACCCCTCATCCTGGAACACACTAGCGAGAGAAATGGGAGGTACTCCATCACTTGATGTCTTCAAATCAAGACAGCATAGCCCCTATGCCTTAGCCAAACTCAAGTTATCTGGTCTCAGTACAGGGGTAAAGGGATGAAACTTAATTGTGTTTGATATACAGGAGGTCAGACTAGATGATCTAATCGTTCCTTCTGGTGTTAAACCGTCTTTAAATCTATGGATCAAAGCAAGGGGTTAAAATGTGCTAGATTGATGCTCCACCAGCCTAACATTAACATCAAAAACTTTCAATTACATAAATTGTGTTCTTCAAACACTTTCTCACCCACCTATGGCTGACATAGGAGTTAAAAATAGGGGAAGAACTTAGAAAACATTATTAGGTTGGTTGAGCCTCTTAAATTAAAAACCCATTCTTTTTCATAACGTCACCCCAAATCTTCTAACCCTTTCCTCCTCCCTCTTCAAACCCGTTAAGTCCACTTCTCAAACCATCATCCTTTTCTCTCTTTATCCTTCCCGCCTAATCTGTTTCGCAAGGGCTGGGATTTCGTACCACACCACCATTTGAATTTAAGGACCCACTGATTCTTCTCATAAAGCATTCTATTTAGATATCATTGGGTGTGATACTGCATTTTCTTAATTTCTCATCTCACATTGTTATTGCTTAGGGACGGCTGCATGAAAATAAAATCTACATTTTAACTTTTAACCATTCCTGCTCCACTCCTGTTGCTATAATCCTTTGTTTGTGATATTACAATTGATTGTTGGGAAAATTATTTCAGAACAGGTTTATTACTGCAGACCAGGAATAAGTAACAGGAGCAGATGAAGTCCTAAATCAAATGTAGTTACCCCCATTTGTCTTTATGTACTTTGCTTAAAATATTCTACAACTGTCCATTGATACAAAATGCTGCTTTAAAGTTAATCTATTTATTTCCAGCATCTGCTGGGAATTGCCATCTGTCTTCCTGATGCCCAGAAATCTGGTCCATAGCACTGTACAAATAAAGCTAGGAATGGGGGTTCCATAACATGACAGTGTTAAAATTAAACTCATCTGAGAAAGTGTTGGTTACTTGATTTGTATACATGTAGTAGTATTATTCATGCAAGGCTATTTCACAACTTGCTAGTAGCCCTTGTTATGTCACATTAGGTTTCATGTTTTAACACTAGCACTATAATACAGTTTAAGGCCCTGAGGGAAAATTTGCCAATATTTTTATTACTATTAGTTCATCACCAATAGTGGGAGTCCTAGTGCAAATAAGCTACTGGTTGCCACAGACATTTTAAGAATAATGTCATATAAGCCTGTTCAGAGCAGATATAATCAATGTGATCCTTAAAACATAGGCATCTATATTAAGGATAGGTTTCAGAATAGCAGTCGTGTTAGTCTGTATCCGCAAAAAGAAAAGGAGGACTTGTGGCACCCTAGAGACTAACCAATTTATTTGAGCATAAGCTTTTGTGAGCTACATCTCACTTCATCAGATACTATACTGCTATCACTGGATCTGTGGTAGCAACTGTGGGAAATGTTTCCAAACTATCCCTCTTGTAGATAGAACTGCATTTAATATAGCATGGCTCAAAAAAAGTATCTCAAAACACTTTACATAAAATAACCAAAAGCCAGAAAGTTAACCTTTACTGAAGGCTAAAAAAAAGAGACTAAAATAACAAATCTTAACTGAATCCCCCAAATCCACATATTTAAAGTTCAGTGAAAGTATACTCTACAGCTTCATTGCAATTGCTATAAAGCTGAAGAAATGTAATCTGACTGAAGCGTTTAGAACTCAGAGGCAAAATCTTAAAGCCTGTACAGTAAGATACCAACAGCCTGTGTTAAAGTCTCCAAGATTACACATATTGCTCAGATCTGACTTATAGAGGAAGCCATATTAATGTATTGAGTAGATTACATTAAATTTGAAGTTTCTGAATAGATTTTAACACAAATAATGAAAGGAGGAGCATTTAATAATATCATAGAGCCAAATACACACATCTTGCAACAGATTAAGTTTAACATTAGAAAATTCTTTGTCATCCCTTTATTTATGTCAGAGAAGGATTTCGGTTGCAAATCATAGGTGCTGAGTCAATGAAAAGGCAAAACAGACGTGGTTATCTTATACAGAACAGAGGTAACACAAATTGTAACAAACACGCATCAAACCAAATGGGAGCAACAGAGATTGTCAAAATCGAGGTACCAACAAATTCAGGTTATAAATGCTAGATACAGTGAATGGAACAATTTCCAAAGGGAACGAAGTGGGCATGCTGAGTGTACTCTGACCTGAACTAAGCAAAAGTAGTTTTGTCCCAGAATAACCCTAATACAATCCCGTAGGTAACAATATTGAGTAAATTAAAAAGATCAAAGAAAAAGCAGTAAAGGAAACTACCATGACCATAGTCAGCAATATGACTCAAATTGAGAGGCAAGCTTTTAAAAAATCATTACCACCCAGGGAGTAATAATGATATCATTCTGTACCTCTTGCCAGCACTAACTTGTATTTCAAGTATGTGTTTGAAAAAACATATACATTGTTTCTTTTTTAAATAGATTTTTAAAATCTAAAATTTTTGATACCAGGATAAAAAGGGTTTATATTATTACAGAGGGCCAGGGAGGCCATGTTCAGGTCTGGATCCAGATACCTGCAGTTGTAGGGTTGAGTTGGACTTCTGTTTTATACTGAACCAGAGCTATAGCTTCTGTATCAACAGTGCCAAAAACTCATGAGCACATAGTCTCCTCAGATTTCAGCACCCACTGGCAGAAATCTTGAGAGATCATCTGTTCTGCATTCTCCTCCCCTTAAATCCTGGCTGCTGGGAGGATGGGAGTTGTTTTTATTCATTCTTCCTAGAGCAAGATTAGCCCCCATGAAACCTGTGGACTCCTAGGAAATCAGAAAAAAAAAAGCCAAAGAAGTCCTAATGTAGACAGGGCTCCAGCAGCTTCCTGAATTGTCAACTCTATATTTATAAACCTAGTAGGGTTCCTACTGGCACTAACAACAATTCAGCTGAACAAGTGGGAATATTTTGATAATATTCCCCAGTAACAACAATGCTTATGGGTGCCATACCTACAGTCCTGCAAAGCTGCATGAGGCTCCAGAATCACAGGTTGAGTTTCAGTTTAAAGTAATTGTTAAATTTCAACTATTATTATAATGTGTGGAGAAACTTGTAGTGTGTAGATATACTGTAAAGTTTCTGAACCTACAACTACAACTCTGGCTGCTTCCATTTTTGTTCTGGAATGGCAAGTCGTTGCATTAGCAATGTCATTCACCTGGAATTTTTATTTATGGGGAGGAAATACAAAGCACTGTTGTTTGGAAAAAATAAGTAATATTAGTTTCAAGTATCTTCCTCTTAACAAATTGCCTTGTTTCAGTTTTTCAGTATCTGAGATAATTAATCAATGTCAAATCAGGATAATTAGAAGTTAAAATGTAGTGGGGCTCTTGATCATAGGAATATTATAAATGGCAACATTTTGATGAGGCTGGAGAATTCTCTATAATTAAGCTTTTAGAAATGACTAATACATGATTTTAGCAAAGCCTCGTCAGAATAAAATGAACAGAAATTGTGACCGCTTGACATTCTCTGCTCTTCCAGATTGTGCCTCGCATCATGTGGCTTGTGTGTTGTACTGAAACATACTGGTTTAGGACTGCTATCTCCCTGGGAAACTCACAGAATGGGACATCTCCCTCAGGACAGATATCTCAGTGAGCAACATTTTATAATAAAATAATAATAAATTTCATGCAGTAATACCTTCCATTCAAGGATGTCAAAACTCATTATAAACATTCATTATTTAAGCCACACAACAACTCTGAGATGCTCAGATAACTCAGTGATGGGTGACCTTAAAAAAAAAACTCTAGATAAATATTATCTCAGTTTTACAAACAATAAACTGAAGCATGAAGGGATTAAATAACTCAATCAAGGTCACACAGCAAGTCACTGGCAGAATTGGGACTAGAACTCAGGATTTCGACTCTCAGTCTCTTTTAGCTGTGAGACTCTACTTTGTTCCTAAGAGAAAGGTGTAGTCCAATAAGCCATGCACAGGCTTGGCACTCAGGAAGCCTTGAGTTCTAATCCTAGCTCTGAGAGAAGCTTTGACTATGATTTGGAACAAGTAGCCCAATTGCTCTGTCTTTGTTTCCCCAGCTTTAAGAAGTGGGGGATGATGATACCTACCATCACAGTGCTGTTGGGAGACTACTTCTTAGCGTATGCACAGCGCACCTCAGGTGGCACGTGACCAGGCTTCATTACCAAATTTGGTCCACTGTTTGGATCATGAGCTTCCCTGGCTTGGGCTGGGGAGTGCGACGTGAACGCTGATCCATGCCCCCGTGTTGGGACACTTGATATTGTCAAAGCATTTGAAGATGAAAAGTGCTATATCAGTGCTTTTATTACATAAATCAAGACAAATTCTCAGCAGCATTTTTTGCCTTTATTTATAGGGCAATCATGCACAGGTTCAGGGCTCTAGGCAACCATATATGACA